AGATTGGTTTTGTGTTGCCTCGCAAACAACCTGCATGATATAATTGCGTTCACCCTCCCTATCAAAGTTAGAACGGACGAAGTCGAGGGAGTTATATAGTGCATGGATAGCAGCCAATTGAACCTCGGGCGATGGCTCCTCTTTACGTGCGCCATGAATGACGGCCGTCAGGATTTCGTTTGCTCGGAGCGTCAAAACCTCGGGTTTCTATGAACATGATGTGAGAAGACGGCACGACAAAAGAGGTGGTAGCTCACGATCGTCTCGCAGATGAAGCCAATTGCCTGGAGGGCGGAGATCTTAAGATGGGGCTCGGGCTGATTGTTCACAAAACCGAGGAGGATCTCAATGAGTTCAGGCCACTGGCCTTGGGGGAGCTCCACGGCGGCGATAGCAGCAACAACCTGGGCCGCAAATGCACCGGCCTTGGGCTGAGGCGATGCAAGAGTTTGAAGCGCGCATGTCTTGACCTTTTGCTTGGTTTCTAGCGGCAGACCGAACCATCTGCTGCTGTATTCCGTTTGCCGCACGATGTCCTGGCAGCGAGTCAGCGATCATATGTTTACATGCACACAACACGCGAAACGACATGCACCCGTGCCGTCAGTGCGTTCTTTAACGCGAGGCCTGCAGCGTTTCTTATGTGTAGCGGCGTCGTTTCGTCGACAAGCACGGTTGCAAGCATGTCCATGTATTCGGGCTACAACATCGATGTTAGTCCCTGTGTGGAACAGGACCAAGACACGCAACAACGCACGTAATTATCCCGAGACGCGATATCGAGCTTCTGCTCGGCATCGACGCGTATATTGGCATCTGGCAAAGTCGGATGAGAACGAAAAACGCCGATTTCGTGCGGCGAGTCGATTGCGGGCAATGTAGTACGCACTGGCAGAGAGTGTGTTGGCAAGGAGTTCGGTTGCGCCGCTCATCGTGTGGCTTGTATTTTTTTAAAGGAAAAAAAAAAACGGGAGCAGGAGATGGTCGTGAAAAGACAAAGAATAAAGACAAACAAATGCGTTTGCGGTTGCCTTTCAGGGACTGGTCCCGTGCTTTGTACTTGTTTGGTGCGATGGGGCGATAAGTCGCTAAGACAGCATTTCCTGATTTGTCTATCCTCTAAACAACGAAAAAAAAAGTCGGAGATACATGTACATGATTTCACGACAAAACATTACTACTACAGACCGTAGTATCACAAGAAAAAGCGTATCTATTCCTGTGCCACAAAAGGATTGGCTATCTCCTCCGATCCATCTACTGGACTCACTAATGTGATCGTCGGTCCCCGTAAAACCGCCAGCCCCATATTCCTTTCATGCAATTCCGGCTCTGATGATCAAACAAAATAAGAAAGAATTGGCGATGTAGATCATCTCGAATACGCACCATACACTTGCTCTTTCACATCATCCAATACAAGGTTCAGTAACTGGTCGTAGCCTTTTAGAAGACCGGTCACTGCAAATGATCGGTCAGAAAAATATGAAGAACAGAGAAAAATAGGTCGTGAGAATTCTCCATCCACTCTTAGGGTCCATCGAAGCATATATATGGTACACGTGGAAAATGCTAGTACATGCGGAAAAAACGTGCAAAAGACATACCTTCCCTGCCACCAGTGAATTTGACCCGTATCCGTTCATTCACATATTTTGCGAGATCCAAGATTGCTTCTCGTCTCGGTTTTTCGCCCGCGATAGCTGCTGTGGAGGTAGGGCGCACAGAACGTTTATTGTGGGTCGGCAATTCTGTCAGTAGCAATTTCACACTTGGATCAGGAACGAGCACACACCTGGAGGGGGGGCTCCTGGGCCGCCTGGACGAACACCACGAAATACTGAAGGTGTGCCACGCACGCGAGGTGCACCACGTCCCTGGAAATACTTTGATCAGTTAATACATGTCGCTTATTGCAGTCGTTGTTTCCGCGTAGTCATACTTACACGTTCTGCCATAACAAACTAGGTCTCTTAAGAAATATTTCTTGACAAATCGCAGAATTTGTTCACAACGCCACTTAATGCGCCTCGAGATAAGTCTTGGTTGTAACAAGTAATGAACTAGAAGCAGAAGCAAAACCCAGTAGCAACAAGAGCGGATTGAAGCAACAGACAGAGAAGACAAATTCAACCTAGTAATGTCGGCAAGGCTATTTTCCTTCGTCGACAGACTCGACGCGGACGAAGGTTTGGCTTGAGGTCGATCGTGATGGATCCGCTCGCATGGTCTCTAGTGACTCATTGCGATCCCAAATCAGGAACAATAACTGCAATCGACTTCATTGTCATATCAGATCACCTTCTGGTCTCAGGAAATCCATAACTCTTCTGCGTTAAATAAGCTAGAAAACTAATCGACATGGAAAAACAGCGAAGCGATGCTATCAGTACTCCAGTGTCAGACCCCAATAAATTAGACAAGCGTCGTCAATCCCTTGCATCTTCAATCCACTCAAAACTGCTCGTCGGTGTCCTTGCAGCGCTTTGTTGTGTCTGGATAAGCTTCAAACGTCCTGGGGATTACCTTGTCTGTACTTCATCGCCTGCCATCTATACTGTGTATAATGATCAAGTTGCACAATGTCTGAGAGTTCATCGAACTGAAATATCCGATGTGGGTTCAAGAGAACACCTCTCTAGGTTTCGTTTGCCGGACTTGCTCTACGGCGCACCAGCTGTCATCAATCTCCAACCCGGCCATATCGTTGTACCCGGTCTCGCTGGTACGCTTTGAAATGACCATCCTGTATACTATGTCATTGTTTTGTAGATGCGCATTGTCATATTCTTGCTTATGGGTTCATACAAAAGCTTCCCCTTGAAAACACGCGGAGCATATCGGGTCAGTTTTTGCGCAAGCTCTATTTCAATGCACTAGCGCTGAGAAATGAAATGGCTGATGAAATGGCTGTAGATGTTGTCCAGCGTCTGAGAGAGTATGTCTTGACCCATGAGTCCGAGCAATGGATTGAAGGATGGGGATGGGACCAGAACAAATGGCCAGAACCCGTGTTTCCTACTGCAGTGAGGCGGCTCACCTCTACGTTGACTGAAATCAAACTCCCTCACGCAGGCAGACCTTGGTCGCGACCCTCTGTTGAAGGGGCGTGCAATTGCGCTCTCGCGCATTGACGGGCATGCCGCATGGGTGTCGCCTGCTGTGCTTGCCCTCATGGGGACGCTTCCAGAAACGGTAGACGGTGGAAGCATCCTGCGTGACGCCGAAGGAAATCCCACCGGTATTTCTAGATACAACAACATGTCTACTTCACAGAAGCTTACTTTCTGAGCAGGTATCTTTATTGACAATGCCATGGACTTGATTCCTCGGCCTCCTTGGACAGAGCATCAAATAAAAGAGTATTTTGACGCGACAATCCGCACTGCGTTGTCGTTTGGGCTCACCACCCTGCATGACGCAGGATCTTCTCCTGAACATATCAGTTTCTTCAAGGCGTGAGTGTTCGGTATCTGTCGTGAGGCTTTCCCTATAAGTATATAACTCATCGACGTTCGGTCAGTCAAGCCGACGCTGGGAAATTGCCTGTACGAGTTGTCCGAGATATATTTTCGAGGTATTAAACAATAAGATACAACAGATACGACTGTACATCATGGGCCTTGTTTCATCCGATGAATATTGGGGCGCACAGATTCCGCGACTTGTAGACTACGGTCCACAAGGGCGTCTCAACGTACGCAGTGTGAAGCTGGTCACAGACGGTAAGCTATCACGTCGTCGCACTGTGAGCCTCCAACTTCGGTCCAAAATTGACAACATGTTTCATTGCAAATAGGCGCCTTGGGCTCGTGGGGCGCTGCCCTACTTGAACCGTACTCTGACAAACCAGAGCAGCGCGGCATATTGCGTCAGACGGCGGAAGTCCTTGCGCACATAATTCGCAAGTTCTATGAGGATGGATGGCAGGTGAACATCCACTGCATTGGTGATTTCGCCAACCATCTAGTTCTCGACATCTTCGAGAATGTGCTCTTGAGGCCAGATGCCAGTGTCTATAAGTGGCGCCCGCGCATCGAACATGCACAGATTATGACTGCTAATGATCTCGAGCGTGTTGGAAGGCTCGGAGGTGAGTTCCAATAATCGATTTGGAGATATCCTGTTGATGTGAATTGGGTCTTTAATACCACAATAGTTATTGCCAGCGTTCAGCCTACCCATGCGTAAGCGGATTGGTCCTGTCTTCAGTATCCACAACGTCTGACTTCCACTTGACCAGTACCAGTGATATGTCTTATGCAGAGTCACGCCTGGTATGTGTTTTCTCACATATCTCACCCGATAAATTTTTGAAATGTTATTATCAGGGATCTGAAAGAATATTGGGTGCATATGCGTACCGAACATTGCTCAAGTAAGGGTGCTTTAGTTTTCGCATTCATTCATTTCTCACTACGCGTTTGTACAGCACATCTCGACTGAACATACACTCGCCTGGAGGCGGCGTTCTTCCACTGGGTTCAGACTTTCCCGTAGAACCGGTAAACCCGCTTCTCGGATTCTACGCAGCGGTTACGCGACTCGATACAGGGGGGAACAGTCCGCATGGGAGTGGTGGCTGGTACGTAGCTGCTTTACGGCTCTCCGGGGTTTGCTACAAATTATTCGTCCATTCTAGGTTTCCTTCCCAACGTCTTACACGAGCGCAAGCACTCAAAGGTATGACGCTCGACGCTGCCTATGCTGCGTTCGCGGAGGACCAGTACGGCTCCATTGCTGTTGGCAAGCGAGCAGATTTCGTCGTTCTCGACCACGATATCATGCAGGTGCCGGTTGCAGACATCTTGAACACACGCGTCGTGGCTACGGTCATTGATGGAGAAATAATGTATGGACAGCTCAAGGTGTAATTCGACCATTTAGAATCTCTTGGACATTTTTGAAAACAAAGTTGTGCTGAGCTTCGGAATTTCGTCATGTTTTCGTCAAAAACTGAACGTCCCACGTCAAGGGACTTGTGCACAGCCGTGCTCACGGGACCCTTGGTGTAGTGGCTATCACATCTGATTCCAGAAGTGGAATATCCAGAAGGTCATCCGTTCAACTCGGGTAGGGTTCAATTCCCCTTTTCGCTCGTTTTACTTTCAACTTGTTACGACGGTACTTGTGTGAGATGATGTCGGGGTAACACAATCATATTGATAAAAAGCGCCACCGTTTCATTTTAGTGGTTGTACTGTATATTGTAATTATAAGTATCAACGTTGAGGTAAATATAACCAAACACTCAGTTGATGGTCCGCGGCTGCACGATGCTATTCTGCATTACCCTCTCATCACCACGTCGGTGACCACGAGCTGTACGGCTCGTGCGTGCAGGACGAACATAGACTCTGGATCTTTCTTCCTCTGATATCTATTCTAAATAATACACAGTTGCTGAAGGACGTTCTTCGAGTTCGTCCCATTCGATTCGCGGATAGCGCACTTACCAGCTGGCTGTCATTCGTTTCTCTCGCTATGGATTTTGTATCACGACCAACGTCTTCTGCTATTAAGATCGTCGATCCTAGTACCAGGAGCGAGCTACCGTCCCCGCGGGCGAAGGGTACGGCTTTTTCATACCCAGGTCTAATCATCGTTGATACTGACCGACTCCAGATTCTGTACAACGGCAATGCAGGAACATTCTTCTGCATGGGTGGGATTTGCTATTTGCCTATCTGTGACTCTCAGTACTCAGATTTTGTAGGTACTGCAAAAATCGCGACAAGGGATGCATGTTTGCCCACCCTCCGGTACGATGCGTCATATTCACTACACGTCCTTTCGTGTCTGACCTCATACTCCCTTCAGTTCGATGATGAACCACTCACAAGGTTCGTGTCTATGTCGACTTTGTAAACCGACAATTTTGCATCGGTTGGGCGACAATTGGTCGGTGGCGCCCATGCAGTTCCACTTCATTGAGCATGGCTTTACGATCCCGAACATAATTTCGTATCCCATGATTTGCCTGTGTTGATTTTCGGATAACGATTTTTTGCATCTATCCTCTTGCTGCTGCTTGTCCGGCGAAACTGATGCAGTGTCGTTCGCTCAAACGGCGTATTCTTCGATCAGCCAGATACTCTCCTTCCTAGACATTCAGGACGCCGTGCACCAATGTTGAGCGAAATGGCACTGCACAGTGCAGCATTTCGAATTCATTCATACCGTCATCGCATGTTCCCCGATCTAAATGAATACGCTAGTGCAGTTTTGTATAGACCATACTCATGATGTACAGGCCCCGGTCGTTGTCCCCGATCGCCAAGACGTTGACCGCGGACGCCCTCAACGCGCCCGTGTTTGTGCCCAAGGCCGTTCCCCCGCAGTCTTTTTCGCCTCCCTCCGACTTTTCTTCTACGCCTCCTCCTCTTTTGAGTGACTCTAACGATTCTTATGGGTATTATAACCAGCCGGATGAGCAGCTTGATGCTCGCATGGCTGATGTACATTTAGCTAGCTATGATGACCAGCAGTACCTGCCTTACACTTCCGAGTATGGCCAGGACGTGCCTTACTATCCCGTCGCTCCGGTTTTTGAACGCCAGCCTGTGAGTAGTATTGTCCTCTGCAACCATGTCTTATTTTATTTGTAGTTGAATTACCACCTATATACACCCACGCGCAACACGGCGTCGCGAAATGAAAATCACTTTGTACCATCGACATCCGAGCATCGTCAGCTGCTGCTGCAGCGTAGCGAGACCATTCGTGGGACCCCACCGGCGGGTCTCATGCTTCCTGAGGAAGTGTTTGGGTACCACACATTGGTGCCATTGGACATTCCAGTGCAAACCAACGAACGGCGGCGTTTCGTGAGCTGGTATACGTCCGTCTACCGAGGCGTCAATTCCGCCGATGGAATTCCTTATGCCCTGCGTCGCATTGAAGGTGAATATTGCGGCTTTTTAGCGTATAGATATTGTAACACCCTTCCAGGCTTTCGGCTGATGAAACAGGCAGCATTCTCGACGATGGAATTCTGGTCCAAGTTCCGACATCCTGGTGTTGTGGCCCTGCGCGAGGCGTTTACGACGCGGTCATTTGACGATTCGTGTGAGAACCTTGCCTTACATTGTGCAATTTTTTAAGAAATCAATAGACTTATTATGTTCATAGCGCTCGTCGTCGTATACGCGTATCATGCGGACTCCCGTACACTTGCCGAAGCGCACTTCAAAGGCAAAGATGGCGCTCAGTCGGCGTTTCCCATGCGGTTCTCTCACATGCACGCTAATACGGGCATTCCTGAACGTGTTGTGTGGTCGTACATCGTACAATTGGCATCAGCGATAAAGGCCATACATGACGCAGGCCATGCCGTGCGCGTCCTCGATTTGCACCGTATTCTTGTGACCGGCAAGAATCGGTACGTGTTCTCTTCACTTTCTCTGCGTCGTGTGCCGACGATTCTTGCCTGGCCAGCGTGCGCATCAATTCCTGTGGTATCATCGACGTCCTTCTACATGACACGCCGCAGGACACAAGCGTCTTGCAACAGGAGGACCTACACATGTTCGGGCGCATTGTTTTTGCGCTCTGCACGGGCAACCCGACTGCAGCAAGTGCGGGACACTTCCAGAAGAGCCTCGACATCATCGGACGTAACTACAACTCAGACATTAAGAACGTGGCGCTTTTCCTTATCGGCAAGACGGGGCCGCATCGGGTGCGTTATCGTCAGTCGTTCTATCAAGATAGGGTGCCTTATGGTGCTCGACGCAGACTATCGGACAGTTGCTCGATATCATCGGGAGCAGGGTTGTCATTGAGTTGGATGATGCACTTACGTGGGTGTGATCATAACGTTTTCAGACAGTGCTCAACTTTTTTTTCGTGTGGTATAGTGCCACCGATCTTTTGCAGCACTCGTTGATGGGCGAGCTTGAGAACGCGAGGTTGGTTCGTCTGTTGTGCAAATTCAATTTTATCAACGAGCGTCCCGAGTGAGTTCTGTTTTCTGCTGTGCATCGTATATCAGCTTTATTTGGTGATGCGTCCCAGGTTTGCTAGGGATCCGCGGTGGTCGGAGACTGGAGATCGGTACATACTCAAGCTGTTCCGCGACTACGTTTTTCATCAGGTGGATGAGCACGGCAAGCCCGTGGTCAATCTTTCGCATGTTCTTACATGCCTGAATAAAGTATGACTTCTCTTAAGGTCAATGTCTTCCTTTCTTGCTCAATCGCGTGATGTGCTTTTAGCTCGACGCAGGCACCGACGAGCGTGTCATGCTGACATCGCGGGACGAGCAGAGCTGCTTGGTGGTCAGCTACAAGGAAATCAAGTCGTGTCTGGAGACATCTTTTGGGTACGGCGCTTGTATGGCTCATTCGTCACTGATCATCTGACCCTGACTATTATTTTTTTGGTCTCGACAGAGAATTAGTTAGTTAGATTATCAGAAAATAGCAGAATCAGAAAAAGACTTGGAAAACCTTCAATAAAAATGTTTTCGTAGCTTTCTCTTGTTGAGGTGTGGTCTGGCATCGTTCAAGGGGGGGACGCTGACGGCACTATATTAGAGTTTGTGGATGGAGAAATTGCCCATGACTGCGTCAACCCCTCCACCTGAGGGATATAAACCGTGGTAAACACAACTGGAACACCCTGCGACATAGAGGGAGAAGTGTCGATATGACCTCTGAATGGAGTGAACTATACGTACGTGGTATCCAATGAGTTCCAAGAAGCGGCGGTTACTTAGGTGGTTCGCCACAGCTTGGAAGTCTGCCCGGAAACGGTAGCCGCCGAATACAAGTGTCGTCAATCGATTCATGCCGGCGGATAGTTCACACGATGATTCTAGATTTTACGGCATAGTAGCTGCCTGTGAATTTGTCCAGGCGCCGCAGGGCACCGTGGTGAAGGCCACCTACACCTTCACCCCATCTCACACATAACTCGTGCAGTTCGCGTTGTTCCGTCAGAAACGAGTGCAAATTATGCTCGTCAGCGCGGCAATACCAACTGAAACCGAGGAGCTGGAACGTTCAACCTCGCAAAATGTGGGCAGTAGGGACACATACCAGGGTCTCAAGACTGAGGCATTTCAGGTTAATCGCAGCTCTGAGCCCCCAATACTCTGTGTCATCCGAGATATGCTGTGCGATCGGACGATAGAGCGTGACTGGTAGGGAGAAAAGCGGCCAGGTAAGCATGTGTACAGTTTTCAGGAGAAAGGTGAAGAGAACTACGTGAACTACTGGTAAGTAAATCGGTAATTAGTCTCCATGATCAATCTAGCAAGGGACTTGGCGGCAAGCAGAGGTCGCTCATGCGCTCCTGCCTGATCCCACCGCGGCCGATGCCTGGTTCACCGGGCACCTTGAAGCTCACGCGCGTGACCATGGTTTACTCAAATATTCTTGCGCCGCCGGTGTCCCCACTTCCTATAACTACGCTGCTCTCATCGTGTTCCAGTTCCCGGTGCGTGCTGCCCAGAAATGCAGTATCTTGTGACTACCTTGTTCTCGCTCATCTCAACTGTCCTCGCAGCGTCGTCGCGCTCGAGCGTCCTTCCCAGCGCATCAGGGACAGGGCTAGTGCCAACACCGACACCAACGCTAAGAGTGACGGTCAAGAACGGCTCCTACTATGGCACCCACCATTCAGGTTTTAACCAAGACTTCTTCCTCGGCATTCCCTTCGCGAAACCTCCCATAGGACAGCTCCGCTTCAGGAATCCTGAGTCCCTCAATACAACCTGGACCGGCGTGCGGCCTGCTACTTATTATGCTTGGGTCTGTTAGCCTCGAATCTAATTTGTCGTCGATTGCTGACTTTCGTCCAGGAGTGTGTTGGATACGGTTCTGACCAGCTTGGCCATTTGCAGGTAGGTTTTATGTGAGTACACGGGGCCTTTGCTGAGACTTGACGTGCAAAAACAGAGTGAGGACTGCCTGTACCTCAACGTCATACGCCCGTCCGGGTACGAAAATACAAGTTTACCGGTACTAGTGTGGATCCATGGTAGGCGATCATCTCAATTTATCGATAGTTCGATTTGGATGAGCTAAAAAAACGCGTAGGCGGCGGCTACCAAGGGGGCGGCCCCCCCGACGCGCGGTA